ACCGGCTCCCCGAGCAAGCTGACGTCCAATCTGGACGCAGTGCGCGCCTGGCCTTTCCTGGGAATGTCGATATCCAAATCAACCACGCGATGCAAATGATGCGATTGCAAACGTCGTCTCCGATCATTCCAAACTGCAGCCATGGCGGGACAGCCGCTCTGTAGGCACGACCACGCGGCCCAGCTGCTCAAAATCCCCTGGATGGACACGCCCAGAAGGTCGCATTCCAATGTCGCGGTGCGCCACGGCATGCACACCACTTGTCTTGAAGAAGGCAGTCGCGACAAAGGCTTCGAGCGCGCGGCATAGTTCTGTAAGAAATCCCCATTCGGTGTAGGCGTCCAGACCGACACAGGGTTATGAAACGCACGTTCTCCGAGGGCTGCTTCGTCTCCACCGTGCATGTCCAATAAAAGAGCGCTGAAGCTACCTAAGATGATGGTGCGTCCGCGCGACCGGCACGCCGAAGCAAATGCAGCAGCATCTGTATGATAAGCGCAACGAATATCACAATCGTGCGCGTTAGTCCAAGCGCAAGCTGGTATCACTGCCACGATACCCCCAGCAACGCGCACCCGTAAATTTGCAATGCGACTACTTTGCGGGATGCATCCTTTTGATCGCATGTTTAGCCCAAGGCGCCACTATGAACCCCACGCCCAAGACGGGTGACCCGCGGCACTGCGTCTCTTGGAGACAAAGCCCTGCGATGTCGAGGTCCCGCATGTGCTTGGTGAGTTCGCGCATCTTGAACGGCAGGTCCACGTCGATGCCCTCTACACTTCACGAGGCGATCCTGCCGCGCAGGACCGGAAGACATGGGAAAGCAATACATGTTCCAATGTTTGGTGTCGCTGTAGTGTCACTGCGCCGTATTTCCTCATGTCCTCCTCTGTTTCCTCCTGTCTTACCTTTCCTACTCCCGTTCCCGACCCGGCTGAGCGTCTCGTTGGCCGTGGAGACGAGGTGCTGCAGCTCCGGACTGTTGACGAGGTCGCCCCATGTGCCCCACGCGCCGTACCAGGAGAGCTGGAGCTGGTCATTGGAGACCATGGCCTGTACAACTGGTTCTGAGGCTACCTTGAAGATTTGGATCTGCATGTCCGCGCGGATCCCCTCCCTGGTGTAGTTCCACTCGAGGAAGACCTTCCGAAGACCAAACAAGAACGATTCCTGCACGCGTTTTTCAATGGGCAGGTCGGGGCGAGTCCACACTGCATTCCTTTGATGCTTGATTTGCGCCTGCCCGAAAAACACTGACAAATTGATCCCTGGATGCAGCACTCCCGAACTTGATGAAAATAATGTTGTTGAGATCGCCTTTCGTGAAGATGTCGGCGTATTCTGGCGTCTTGAAGCGGTCGAACTGCTGTCTGAGAAAGGTGACGGCTGCATCCAAATCCTCAAAGTTTCCAAGCCTCCGATAATTGCATTCGCCTCCCGGTCTCTGTGCGAAAGTTCTGAAAGCTGGTGCTCCAGTTCCAACAATTTGTTTCAATGTCTGTACCAGTACTCTGACCTGATCGCGCCCATGGTAAACCTGAGCTTTTATGTTCGCAACATCGTGTTTAATAGAGTCCGCCATATTATTCAAATCTCCCTGGGATATCCCCATGTAACTTGATGAATCGAATGTCGTTGTGGATAGGTTGTAGTCTCTCACGATACATATATGTGCATATATATATATATATATGCACATATATATATATATGAATTGTCCCACAATGAGCCCCTCGGTACTCAAGAAGCCCGGCTGCCGGAAGAGGTTCCTGGCTCCCATTCCCACCAATTCCCGGTTCCCGGCCCCCAGTTCCTGGTTCCTGGCTCGCGGTTCCCGACTCCCATCCCAGTTTCCTGTTCCTGGCTCCCGGTTCCTGGCCTGCACCTCACATGACCCCCTACAGACGTAGTTCCGCACCAAGGGCGGCGACGAGCATGCGAAGAACGCGGCGCGGCGCAACGTGGTGACAGGCCTCTGGACACAGGCCCCGCTCTTCGAGGTCGGCCTAGTTGATTCACCCTTGTGCAAGACGTGCGGCACAGCGCCCGGCACGCCGCATCATCGATACTTCTGCTGTGAAGGACATCGGGATTTGCAGCAGAAGGCGCCTGCTGAGTGGCAGCACGTAGCTGCGATTCAGCCCGATTCGTTGCTATGGACGGGAGGCCTGGCGCGGTCGCTGGAGGCCGACTGGCGTTTCCAGAGAATTAATGAAGACCAGTACTGTGCGTGGTGGCAGCAGAGTTCGAATGGCGAGGAGGACGTGCTAACTCCTGTTGACCCGCAGGCGGCATGCTTGTCGTCGCCATCTGGATTCGAACGCTCTGGAGATGGCCGCCATGGTACGCCGTCGCCTCGACGATCTGGCCAGGACGCGGCCCACCCTGGGGACGGCCTCCCAGGTCCATCGTCGTCGGGGGGTCAAGGCCAGCAGCGAGCCCCGATTACGAACCTGGACGATGACGAATGGGACCCCTGCAAGATATGGAAGAGGACATGGAGAACGCGTACGAGCACGACGACCCCGACGGGGAGATGCAGCTACCTGAAGTGGCAACGGACACGGTGGCCCTGGCGGAGACCGAGTCGCAGCCGCAGGTCTTCGACGGCACGGGCATACAGGGCATGCTGCACGGGACCACCCTGCGCGACGACTCGAATTTTGGGCAAAGGCCGTTGGGCGCAGACAGGTTGGGCCATCCTCGCGATCGACAGCAAGGGCGCGACCTGAGCCAAGTTGTGGGGGCCGCTACCGTGCGAGCTGCCAGTCCAAAGGACCATCAAGAGGGCGGAAATGTGGGCCTTCTACCAGGCGCTGCGCCATGCGACTCCGCCCTTCACCGTCCACACGGACCACAAGGGCATCGTGGACGGCATCGGCAGGGGCAAGGCCTGGTGCGTCTCAGCTAAGAGGCCGCACGCCGACGACACCAACGTGCGTCACGTGAAGGCCTACAGTACGCAGCCAGCCATGCAGGCCCTTGACGAGGAAGACCGGCGGGTGGCGAAGGGCAACGAGGTGGACCTGTTGGCCAAAGATGGCGCAGCAGTGGACGCAGGCTTCGGCAAGGTACAGGCCCTCGAGGACCCAGGCCACAAGACCCGCTGAGCGCTGCGCAACCTCGGGTGGTGGCATACCGCCGTGGAGGATCGGGCCGACGTGGACCCAAAGCCTGAGCGCCCTCCCACAGCGGAGCCAGGCCCGCCAGCCTTGCACGCGTCGAATCACACGGTGGAGAGCGGCCAGTGGCTTCGCTGCACCACCTGCGGCGGGTCGGCCACGGCCCCAGGCCCGCGTCGTCGCCTCTGGCATTCCCCCAGATGCCAGCCCCGGCCGTGGGAGCCCGCTCGCCAGCGGGACTGGGGGCAGCGATGGCCATGGCAGCAGCGACGGCGGTGATGGGGGCCAGCGCCATGGGCCAGGCCAGCGGCGGGCAGGAGGCGCCGACCCATGAGAGGAAGCACGAGGTGGAGCAGCACCACGGATGCTGCGTGTGCGTGGTGTGTGGAGGCTACTCCAAGGTGTGCATGCGGCTCCTGGCTCGGGCGTGCCACGGCCCGCTGGAGCCCCCTGGCCAGAGCGAGAGGGATGACGCGCGTCGCCGGCGACGGGATCGCTTACGTAGAGGCTTGCGCCCAAAAAACGGGCAGGCAAGGCCCTTGGCCGCTGGGCCTCTCCCGCCTGCGGGGGCGGAGCGGCGGAGGGCTGACAGTCTGGTCTGCGCGCCTCTCCGGAGCGTGCGCGCGCCGTGGGGCGGCACGAGCGTGGATTGGCCTCTCGATTCGGTCAGCCAATCTAGACAAAAAAAGGCTCCCGGTTCCAGTTTCTGGTTCCCGGTTTCCGGCCCCACTATTGTTACATATAGTGGAGGGCGGTTGAGGGAGGAAGAAGCGGAGGGAGGAGGAGAGGAGGAGGAGGAGGAGGAGGAGGAGGAGGAGGAGGAGGAGGAGGAGGAGGAGGAGGAGGAGGAGGAGGAGGGGGTGCAGGAGGAAGATAAGGAGGAGAAGGAACGTCGGCGCTCAGTGGAGGAAGGGAGAGAGAGAGAGAGAGAGAAGAAGGGGGCGGCGGGGAGGGGGGCGGAAAGGAGGGGGGGGGAAGGTGGAGGGAAGGCGAAAGAAGGAGAGGGACGTGGAGGAAAGAGCAGGGAAGGGGGCGACAAAGAGGAGGGAGGGCTGGGCTGGGCCATGGACGTTGAACATCAGCTCCTCGCCGTGCCGCGGCGCGCCCCCCCTGACGCTGGTGATCTCCCCGAGCCACGCCTGGGGCGCCGCTCGACTGCGACGTCGTCGCCGCTGCCACCGAAGTCGTTGCTGCCATTTCGGGCGACGTCAACTGACCACCTCAACGATCCTGGGCCCACGACCGGTGGAAGGCGCACACCGAAGAGAGCGCGCAGATGCGCGAGCCCTGCGTGGTCCGCAGATCTGTGAAAGCTACATCTGCGGCTCTTGCGGTTGACGAAAAGGTCGGGCAACGTCAATTGACCACGTCACCGATCCTGGCCAGGCCCACCCCCTGGGCCCACGATCGATTGGCGTGTGCACCCTGCTCGCTTGGCGCTTGGCCAAGGAGGCGCGTACACCGATCCTGGGCCCAAGATCGGTCCGGCCAGGACCCGAAACGTGGTCACGCTACACTGTTTCATTTGTTTCCCCGGAACAAGCGTCGGCCCAAGACTGTCTTTTTGTATAGTGGTACCGGCCCCTCGCCCAAGGTGGGCCGATGGATTTCTTCCTCCATGAATGCCGATGTCCAGGAGGGCCGGCGGATTTAGCTCAGCGGATGTCTCAAGCGGAACGCTTGTTTTCGGAATTCCGCTCAAGTGTGAACTGAGTAGAACAGGTTTCCGTTTGGTGAGGATGTCTCGAGAGAATCGCCTGATCTGCAGAATCTCCTCTGAGGATGTCTCGAGTGAAACGCTTGTTCTGCAGCGGTCGAAAAATGGTGGACGCCCCGGGATGCCCCAGGAGACTATGGCAGCGCACACGCCGGGTATTTCACAAGGGGCCGTGATCCTAGGAGCACGGACGCAGAGCAACTTACCAGGTGCTGCTGCCCTGGGAGCACGGACGCAACAGAATCTTCAAGTGGTCGTGGCCCTGGGAGCGCAGACCCAGGGCAATTTACAAAGGATCGCGGCGCTGGGAGAGCGGACGCAATGCAGTGTACTACTGACACTGGCCCCTGGAGCGCGGGCGCGGCGGAACTTACTAGGAGCGTGGTCGTGAGAGCGCGAACCCTACGAAAGTTGCGAAGGATCCTGGCCCTGGGACTGCGGACGCAGCGAAATTCACAAGGGACTGTGGACCTCGGAGCGCGGACGCAAAATAGCTTACAAAAGACTGGCCCTGGGAGAGCAGACGCAGCATTTACGAGAGATCGTGGCTCTTGGAGCGCGCACGCACCGTAATTGACGAGGGATCGTGGCTCTAGGAGCGCAAATCCAGCGAGTCCTCTGGCACGCCTCCGTGGCGCATCACGTGGGACGTCCCTTGGCCCGTTCCTTGACGTGTCCCTTGGCGCGTCCACAGCCACGTCCCCAGGCACGTCCGCTGCCGCGTCCCCTGGCGCGTCCACTGACGCGTCACGTGACACGATCACTGGCTCGTCCTCTGCCGCGTCCCCTGCCGAGTTCGTTGGGACGTCCCCTGGCGAGGCGTCCCCTGGCACGCCTCTTGGCGCGTCCCGCGGCACGTTCCCTGGCTCGTCCCCTGGCGCATTCCCTGGCTCGTCCTCTGGCGTTCCCCCTGCCCGTTCCGTGGCGCGTCCCCTGGCGCGTTTCTTGCCGCGTCCCCTGGCGCGTCCCTTGGGACGTCCCCTGGAGTGACTTCTCCTGGAACGCACCGGCACGCCACTTGGCGTGTCCCGTGGCACGTCCTCTGGTTCCACAACCCCTGGCGCGTCCCTTGGGACGTCCCCTGGCATGACGTCCTCTGGCACGCCCCCTAGCACGCCCCCCAGCACGTCCCGTGGCGGGTGCCTGACACGTCCACGGCACGCGCGTCCCCTCGCGCGTCCCCTCGCGCATCCCCGAGTGCGCCGTTGGCACGTCCCGTGGCGTGTCCGTGCGCCCTGCGCACCGTCGTCTCGTCTCGATTCGGAACTGGGTCCGACCTTGAGCTCGAGCTGGTTGAGGGCCCCGCGCGTTTCACTGGGCGAGTCATGCGTCCAGGCAGCTCGAGCTAAAGATCGAGACCAGTTCGGCCAAGATACAAACGCCAAGGACGACTGCATCCACGACGCAATCGAGTTCAGCACCGCTCAACGCTACTCCACGGGCCTCTCCTCCGGTGATGTCCTACCAGAATTTCGAGGCGAATCCCGCGGTGGCGACGAGGGCCTCCTGGGAGGCCCAATGAGGCGAAAACGAGGCAAGGGTGGCAGTGTCGGTACCTGCTCCCCTTCTGACAGAGGCACAGCGCAGCGCAGCACAACCCCTGGCACAGTATGATCATCATGGATGTCCTCAGCACTGCCATTGCCCGTAGCCCACGTTGGGGCAGCTCTCTAAATGTATGTGTGCATATATACACGGATCGATATCCCTTTCTGGGTTCGTGGATCAGCCACGTTAGGAGGGGAATATCCTTGGGGAGAGCGCCTCGTGGCAGCAGCTGGGGCGCGGCTCGAGAAACTGGTCGGGGTGGTCTTCGGGAGGGGTCTGGAGAGTCAGCCCTTGGGCGCAGGCCGTCGTCGTCGTCGTCGCTGCTTCTGTTTCCCCTTGACTGCCGCAGACGTGCGTCAGGTCGAGTCCATGTCGAGCGAGGCGTGCCAAGCCGCTGTACAAGGCCCGCCACACTGACTGACTTCTCGCAGATGAACGGCACCTGCAAGACAACTGGAAAATGCACCAAGATAAACTACAGCGGTGGGCACCAACTACGAGGACGAACTCCGGGGTGGACGTCAGGAGGGGTCAGCATAGGAGAGGGGCGAGCCAGCGAGGCGCCGGGAGCGACCATGCACCGAAGAAAGGTCCCGGCGGCGGGGCCGAAAGCATCTGCATGCAGCACGTTCCGCAACACCCGAATTTCTGCGACACCCCCAAAATGGGGCCCAGGCCCCTCCAGTCGGTCGGCGTGGAGGAGCCGGACCTCCTCGCGTCAAGGGTATTCGGTAGTTGTCGCTGGCTCTGAGGAGGAGGGAGGAGTGAGGGGGGAGGAGGTGACCACCTCACCGATCCTGGCCAGGCCCAGTCCTGGGCCGCCGGCTCGGTCCACTCCCCTCCCTGGCCAGGCCAAGGAGGGCGTGGAGTTGGGCACCGATCCTGGGCCCAGTATCGGATCGGCCTGGCCAGGATCGGTGAAGCGGTCGGTTGGCGTCGCCCGACCCTTCAGTCCACACCGAGAACAGCAGAGGCGGCCCTCACAGACCTGCGAGCCACGCAGGAACTGCACACCCGCGCGCCCTCCACGGGACACCCCTCACGAGAGATCCACGCGCGCGGCCTCCCACGAGCGGCGCCCGTCCTTCACTTTCGGCACGTGTCGTAGTTCGCAACGAACCAGTCCACCGATTTTTTGATCCCCTCCTCGAAAGGGGTGAACTTGTGGTCCGGGAGGAAGGAGCGGAGCTTCTTGTTGCTGGCGGTCTTCTTGTGCTGGCCGTCCGCCTTCGTGGTGTCGCAGACCACCTTGCCCTGGAAGTCCATCGCCTTCGCGATCGCCTCGGCAACAAACTTGATCGACACCTCGGCTTCCTCGTCGACGCTCAGGATGATGGGCTCGACGGAGTCGTAATTCCGCAGAGTCCACACTGTCAGCCACGCGAGGTCCTTCGAATATATGAACTGCCGCAGCGGGGAGCCGCTGCCCCATATGGTCAAGTCGGTGCCGTCTCGCTTGGCAATGTAGCACTTGTGGATCAGCCCTGGGATCACATGGCCATCATCAATCGTCGGGTGTTGACAGAAGTGTTTATGGTCCGAGGTGTCCCCAACTTCGTGTCCCTTCCTGTCGCCCTCCTCTTTCTGTCGCAATAACCCCAGCAAGCACCCCAACTAACCGCAATTTCTACGGAAGCGTCGCTAACATTCGCTGCGATGTGACTGCGAGGAGCCGCCGTGGAAATGTCGCCGAACATCGCTGGCTCATCAGCAAGACAAGGGGGACGAGGAAGAGGAGGACGACGTATAGGAGAGGGGGGGCAGAGCCTCGAGCGTTCCTGCAGAGCTCCCCGCCTTGGGCCACTTAGGCGCCGCCGCGACCCCCTCGGGTTGCCTGGGGTCACGCTGGGGCAGGAGCACCTCTGTCAACACCCGAATGGAGTAGTTGTCGAACTCGCCGTAGATGTTAGTAGGGATCACGGAGGTGTAGTTGAGGTCATACTGGTCTTTGTAGCAGTGGTTCAGAACGTCCACCATGCGCTTTGCGCACGAGTACCCCAGATTGGAGGTGTGCGGCGGGCCGTTGTGGAGCATGGTCTCGTCGATCGGGTAGGAGGTCTTGTCGGGAAAGATGCAGGTCGACAGGCAGGAGACCAGCTTTTTCACGCCGTAAATGCGGCAGCATTCCATCACGTTGTCGTTGATCAGAGTGTTGTCACGATAGAAGTCGACCTTCTTCCGCATGTTGTGGAACAGGCCGCCCACCTTTGCGGCCAGATGGATCACGTGCGTCGGCTTGTGCTTCTCAAAGATGGCCTCCACGGCTTTCCTGTCCACGAGGTCGCCGTCCTTGGACGAGAGGAACACCCACTCCTCGTTCTTGGCAGCCTCGTCCTCCTTGATGACCGCCTCGATGGCCTTGCCGTAGAGCCCGGTCCCTCCGGTGACCAGGACCTTCGTCATCACGGCAAAGCCCCAAGAGAGAGAGGCAGGGAGCGGCGCTTGCGAGAAGCGCAGGGATACCAGCTCGAGCCGAAGCGAGATACAGAAGAGGGCAAGGATGAGGCGGGGGATGCAAAAAAGGGGAGAAGAGGTGGAGGGGAAGGAAGATAGAGGAACAAAACGCTGCATCAGCGTACGCTTGGGACTGGAAGGATAGCGCCCAATATCGGTTTCCGAATAAAAAAAATGCTGTCCCTCTGAGGCGATCCCCCCGCGAGAGCCCCCCCTGCGCACGCCACCCCCCTGCCAGAGCTTCTTCTATGCACGCTTTGCCCACAACGGGGGATTGCGTGTAACAAGCGGGCCGGCGGCGCCACATCGCACACCATCTTTACAACGCCAACAGCAACCTTTCGAAGATCAGCCTTGGGCTACTCGGGGGGGGCTGGTGAGGCCAGCTGGGACTACTCGGGGGGCCTGTTTTCAGGCCAGCAAGGACTACCTGGAGAGGCTGTCTGTGCGCAACCCGAAACCTTACCAGGGGAGGAGAGGCGAGGGAAGAGGAGGGGAGGGGAGGAGGAGGAGGAGGAGGAGGAGGAGGAGGAGGAGGAGGAGGAGGAGGACGACGACGACGACGAAGCCATGGACAAGACGGAGGAGGACGAGGAGGGCGAGGACGCGGAGGCCTCTTGCTGCTCGCGCCTATACGTGAACGGTTGGGTAGGGTATGAGATGGAAGGGAGGAAGGGCACTTCGACCACTACGCAGTCTAGGCCCGCCTTGCTGCTGGTGTGACTAGCATCGAAAACTACGACATGTTGTCCGATAGTCAGAGCCAAGTCAATTCAAGCATGCGGAGGCGAAGGCGCCAGACTAGAGGCCTCCCAGAAGGGGTCGGAGTAGATGGGGCCGGAGGATCGCACCGCATCGCCGATGCATCAGCGATGCGAATGTGATGCACCTGAGACGTCGGCGCTGCATCGGCGACGCCGGCGCGGAGAAGCTCTGGCTCCATATTGAGCCGCATCGCTGGTGCGTCGGCGATGCGGCACGATCATCCAACCCCACCTACTATTAGGTCGGGCATGTCCTCCTACAGGCAGATTTTGAGGAAAACTTCAGAGTAGGCAAAAAATACTCAAACACAGTCAAAAGTAATCGAAACATCGTCCCCTGACTATTTTTTCTATTTTTGAATGTTCCTCCTGTAGAGGGACATGCCCGACTTAAGCCCAGACAGACGGGCAAGGAGGGAGGCCGCGTCGAGGCTCTCACGGCCCCGACCCCGCGCGCCCACCTGGCGCTCCTCGCCAGCGCGGACCGCGGGGCGCCCCTCGGCGCGCCTCCGAGGCGCCCCTGGCGAACCCCGGATGCCTTCATCGGTTACGCTGACCCGATGCACAACACGCAGACCCCCTCGAGTCATGAGAAAGCACGACGGGAGATGTTTCGCTTTTTATTTTCGGCCGCTAGGGGCCCTTACCGGGCCCCTGGTCCGTCAAAAAAAAACTCTAAATGGAAAACCGGTCCAGGGAAATGGGTCGAGACATCTGGGGGTCGACGTTAATGACGTCGGGGGGTCTGTGCACGCAGCCCGTAGCGTGGTGACATGGAGTTCAACACGTAGACTGGGTACGTAGGTCTGGCGCGATACGTTAGTTCGTCAAACCGTGGGCCAACACGTGCGTGAGACGTGTTGAAAAAGGCATTTGTTGCGTTTCAACACGTGCGCATCAGGACAGCTAAGCTCCTCAGGGGCCTGCTGCAGCTCATAGGAGCCATGCCGTCTTGCAGGCTCTTGCGAACCGACGTTGACCGATGCTAATCGACGCCAGTCGACACTCATCGACGCTAAATCGGCGCTTCGCATCGATTACCCGACGCCAGCGCACGCTAATGCACCGTGAAGACGGGTTTTCGAGGACATACACGGCTCCCACGAGTTGCTACCGAGTCAGGGGACGCCCACTGTTCGGCCGTCCTGCCACTACGATGGACGCCAGAGAAGGAACCGGGGGGGCCCTCTCCCGGCCAAGGCGTGCCCCAGCCACGAGCGGGTCCCCCGACGCAGGTCCTTACGGGACGGGCACTTTTGCTCGGCGTTTCGCGGCGGCGGCCCCGGCGACACGCTGTGCCCTGTGAGCTGATAGCGTGTCGCTCCGCTCCGCGGGGCGGGAGGCTCGCAACGGCTCGGGACGTTGACGCTAGGGGGCTGGGAAGTGGATAGCGCGTCGTGCCAGAACTGGTGGGCCAGAACTGGCGGGGCGACCAGGCGGCACAATGACGCAAGGGCCTCAGACGCCCGCCCCAGGGCTTACCCTGAGGGACTGGCCAGTGAAAACGGCGAAGGGCGGGCCGCAGAGGCAAGGAAGCGAGGGTGTGCAGTGTCGTGCGTCAATGTTGACTGTGAGCCAGACTCCCTGACCGTACCTGAGCGCCTTGGCGGCACGCCTACACTGGTCCCTGCCAGGCGGCTGGGCCGATTCTGGGCCCCGTGGCGGGCCTGGCCGGGCGTCGGTGTGCGATCGGCGCCCTCCTGGCTTGAGGGTCAGCGATATGATGGGCCCACCTTCCACCACCACTACCATAGGTAAGAGAGGGAGGAGGCGGATGAGGAGGAGGAGGAGCAGGAGGAGGAGGAGGACCTCCCCACCCATCCTTCCTTCTCCCCCGTTCTACGTATGGTAGTGGTGGTGGACAATTGGCCCATCACGATATGGGGGAGCTGGCTCAGGGGGGGGAGACATCGAGCGTGGATCGGCGATGCATCGACGACGAATCGGCGACTGGGCCCTCGATTGCAAATCCGGACGTTCCTGGGATGGGTGGGGCTACTGGGCAGCTATCCGTGATCAATGGGCGATTAGGGTTCGATGCGTCCCCCCCTGAGCCTATCCTCTTCTAATGTTGCCCCTGGTGGCTCCCAAGCCCCGACTTTCGATACGCGCCTCGCTTGCGATGTTGCCCCGGCAGCACCCCGACAAACCTGCGGCTGTGCTCCGATCGATCGCGACGTTGGCGCGTGCGAGTTCGCTCCCAGCCCCAGGCTCATCATCGGCACAAGGCCGGTCTACTCGTCTTCTTGCGATCCTTTTCCTTTGAAGCATCCTGCGACTCCTGCTCCTCCGTCACCGCCGCCAGCCCCCACTCTGTGCCGAGGAGGATGTAGAGGGTAGAAGATGGGGGTGAAAGGAGGAGAGGGAGGGAGAAAGAGGAGGAGGCGGGAAAGGAGGATGGGGAGGAGGAATGGTGGCCGAGGGGGAGGTTGGGAGGAAGGAGAAAAGGGAGCAGGAGGAGAGGGAGAAAGGGGGAGGACAACTAGCAGGGTAGATGGGTGGGGCGGCTCAAGGATCAACTCCGAGTTTCGAGCGTCCCTCATCCTTCTTCCATCACCCACATCCATCCTCACTCCCCTACCCTCCCTTATGCTCTGCCTACGCCTTCCTTCTCCTCCCCAATTCCCCTCCTCCTGCTCCGCCTCCTCCCCCTCCTCCTCCTCCTCCTCCTCCTCCTCCTCCTCCTCCTCCTCCTCCTCCTCCTCCTCCTCCTCCTCCTCCTCCTCCTCCTCTCCTCCCAGTCCTCTCCTCCTCCTCCTCCTCGCCTTCATACTTGTCCTCCTCTTCCTTATCCTCCGCCTCCGCCTCTCCTCCTCCTCCTCCTCCTCCTCGTCCTCCTCCTCTCCTCCTCCTCCTCCTCCTCTCCTCCTCCTCCTCTCCTTCTCCTCCTCCTTATCCTCATCCACCTCCTCCTCCTCCTCTCTCCTCCTCCTCCTCCTCCTCCAACTCCTCCTCCTCCTCCTCCTCCTCCTCCTCCTCCTCCTCATCATCATCATCATCATCAGCTCATCATCATCAGCATCAGCATCATCATCATCATCATCATCATCATCATCAGCATCAGCATCATCATCATCATCATCATCATCATCATCATCATCATCATCATCATCATCATCATCAATCAGCATCATCATCATCATCATCATCATCATCATCATCATCATCATCATCATCATCATCATCATCATCATCATCATCATCATCATCATCATCATCATCATCATCATCATCATCATCATCATCATCATCATCATCATCATCATCATCATCCATCTTTCCTCTAAGCCCAGCCTCTGGGTGCTGCCAGTTGGTGGACCTGCTGGGCAGCGACTCGCCGAAAATGCCCTCCTGCGGCTGTTCTGCGGGTGCCTCAGGCAGGACCTGAACGGAACATGATGATAGTGGTGATGATGGTGAAGGCGAAGGAGGAGGACAAGGAAGACGAAGAGGACGAGGACGAATGAGAGAATGAGCAACAAGAGAACGGGGACGAGTGAGAACATGAGGAGGACGGTCACGAGTGATAGCACGAGCAACAGGAAGGGCGTGAGATAACGAGAAAGAGAGGCGGGAATGCGGGTATGATTGAAGAGTCGGAAACAGGGTACGGTTGTTTCAGGTGCAAGGGCAGTGGCGACACTGCTCCTGAAAGAGATCATACCCAGGCCGTGCTCTGAGGCAAGAGTTGGAGTGTGTTCAGGTCCCCTCGACTTCTCTGCATTGAGTTCTGAAGATTATTTAAGCGCCGAGGGTGCTCCTGGTGTCGGCCGCATGGATTTCCCAGAGGCCAGAGGGCGCCAAGACGAGCCAAGAGGGCGCCGAGAGGCCCCAAAGACGGTCCAAGATGGCCCCGAGTCGCGAAAAGATCGCTCCAGAACGCCCAAGATTGCCCCAAGACGGCCCAAGAGGCCCCCGAGACGCGCCAGCAGGGCTCCCAGAGGCCCCCCAGCCTCGAGATGCCAAAATCGTGTATACCCCTTAGGCGTTTGAAGAATTTGAATTCTTACCTGTTCGGGCTTTCGACGCTCCAAGACGACCCAAGAGGCCCCCAGGATCGCCCCAAGGCGGCCCAAGAGGCGCCAAAGAGGCGCCCCCAGAAGGCCCAAGATGGCCCCAAGACGGCCCAAGAGGCCCCCACGACGGCTCAATAGGGCCTCAAGAGGGACCTGAGGGAACACGAACCGACATTTTGAGCCCTTCGCCCCAACATGGTCCTAGAGACCGCCAGCAGGCCTCCAAGAGACCACCCACAAGCTCCAGGAGGCTCCCAAGAGGCCCAAATCAGGCCCCAAGAGGCCCCCAACGAACCCCCGAGAGGCCCCCAAGTCACACCAAAACCGAATCCGAGAGGCTTCCGCAAGTCCTCCCAAGAGATCCCCACAGGCATCATCCCGGTTGCCACTGGTCATGCGGGCCAGAGGGCCGATCACTTGATATAAATCACCGTGGCCAAGTCGGCAGAAAGGTTCGGGCAAGGACAAGGATTGCCCTCTCATGCCAGATATCCGGTGATCGACTGCGTCGAGGAAAGAAGGCACTGGCAGTCTGGCGGGGTGGGGAGCTGTGTCTAGGAGGAGGCGGAGGAGGAATGTCAGGGGCAGTAGCAGAAGCGGCAGCAGGACGGCAAGGTCTGAGGCGTGCAAGTGGACATGCCGTCACGGACATCAAGCAACGAGAGCGTGCGCCAGAGACGGAACTGTCTCGCCTCGTTGGGCACGAACAGCACGATGTCGCTTTCCTTGGCAGGTCGGGGCGAAAGCCACGTTCCCCAACTTAGCTGGCGCTCCTTGACCTACCTCATCGATCCCGATGATCACCCCGTCCTCGTCCGTTCCCTTCTCTTCCTCCGTCACCCCGCCCTACCAGCACTACTACACTATCACAATTAACGCTACTAGCGCGTACCACTAGCACTGCTGCTCGAAAGTATCTCATACCATCCCTATCCTGCCCCTTTGGCAGCTGCACTCATTATGCTCGCCTTCCTCATGAGGGTCTTAATTACGAAAACAACGCCCGTACACAATACAATGTTGGGTTCCCTTCAAGCCCCGCTCCAACGCGTTACGGTGCATAGTTGTCTGGCTTTGGGGGGCGAGAAACAACAAAACATGCACCGTACCACTCCTGGGTCCAAAATCGGCGACGCCTGGGGAGACACCAACGCGGTACGGTACACGCAAGTCATCCGCGGAAGTCTGCTCGTTCAGGTTTTCCTGCCCAGGTGCCAGACATCCTTGTGTTAGCACATGATCCTTGCAGCGCGATGGAGAAGGGATCGATGGAGGATGTATGGCAACGCAAGGGATCGGCAAGCGGTCCCCGACTAGAGGCCAGCGCTGAACATATTCGACAGCTGAAAATGTGAAGGAGCAACAACATGTCCGACTCCACCGCAACTGCTTCCTCAACCGATGTTAGCCGGCGCGGGCCCCAAACAGCGTGCGTTTTGAAATGCACGTGGTGTCGTCAATCTGGGGCGATATATGTGGCAATGGGTGCGGGGCATTGTATGTGGTTAAATATATGTGGCGCAAATTATGGTATGAGCTTGGTGGTGCGCAACATATGCGATGTGCCATTTGCTGTGCAAAACTATTTCGTGCGATACATGTTGTGCTCTCTATAGGGTACAAGACGCGTGGTGCAATCCAAATGGTGCAGTCTACGTGGTGCAGCGTATGCGGTGCAATCTACATGGTACCGTTTATGTTGTGCAGCCAACGTGGTGCAACCTATCTGGTGCAATCTACGCGGCGTCGCCGAGGTAGTGCCACTTATGTGGTGTAACAAATGTGGTCAAATCTACGTGGTGCAATCTAAGTGGTACAATATGGTGCGCACTTCACTTAACCCCGCAGTGAATTGGCAACTCCACTGCTCGCGCAAGGATCTCATCCACCCACCCGCAACTTGGTTTGAAAACCCATGCGGCGGTGATTGCGATGGGTGTTTGGTGTTGGCTGGTGCATCTTGGCGGCCGCGCTAGCCCCCGCATGCTCGCGCCCACGGCGGCCAGCTACTTTGGCACGTCCGACGCGGCCGCGGTGGCGCTGTCCGCTGGGCACATCCCAACTGACGTTCCATTGCGAAACAGCGACCTGGGCGGGCGCGGGTTCATGGCAACGCCAACAACGGTAGTCACGATTATGATGATAACGATGCTGCTGGCGGTGATAACAACGACGACGGCACGGCCAGTGACGGCGCCGATGCTGGTCACGTCGACGACGATGACGGCGTACTCGCGTCGGTGATGAAGATTGTGGAGGGAGTTCGACAAGCGCGCGCGGCCGACGCGCGCGAGTGGCCCGCGTGGCATCATTTGACACAGATCGAGACCCCCCAGCACGCGCGCAAGGGAGTTCGGATGAGTTCGACATGCGGCGCGAGAGGCCCGCTTGGCAGAAAGTGATAACAATGCTGAAGTACCGATGGTTCTCCTGAGAATTCGCAAGAACGCGCGCGCAAACTTTTTGGAAACCGAACGTTGCAAAACCATGTGTTGTTATATGTTTCCGGGAAACTCGTTTGCGAAATTTCTACAAAGCCTAAGGTTATTGAAATACTCCGGCATGCGCGCGCGACGACTCGCGTACGCGAACTTCGTCCCATCTTAAACAAACGGTTCTCGCGACGGCACGCGCGCAAGGGCGTTCGAACGATTTCGACACGCGCGCGCGAGAGGCCGATGTGATAGCAGTTCATGAGCAGGTTGAACAACCGATGGTTTTCTGAGAAATTCGCAAGAGCGCGACCGCAGGATTTTTTATGGTTCATATGTTTTCGTGACATGCGATTGTGGGATCTTTACGGCACCCAAGGTTTCTTCAAACAAAACACCAGCATGCGCGCGCGACGACCCGCGCGAGTGCACTTCGCCCCGACTTGCGTTGCAAGGGATTAATGGAATTTGAGATTTTTTGATAGACAAATGTGCGCATGTTGTTCGACAGGATGAGGGGGGCCATTACCAGCCTGATGAACGATGGGGCAAATTAATATGCAAAAGGGGGGTTCAACCCGGGGAGAGGGGCGGGGTCGACACGAACACTCTTCAGGAGAACCTGCGTAGCGCAATTCACCCTGCCGACTTTGAAATCGCAAACTCCAACGCTCGCGCAACCATCCCACCCACCCACCCGCGAGCTGGATTGCAAAACCCATGCGGCGGCGATTGCGATGAGTGCTCGGCGCTGGCCAGCGCATCGCCGCGGCCGCGCTAACCCCCGCATGCTCGCGCCCACCGCGGCCAGCTAGTTTGGCGCGACCGACGCGGCGGCGTTTACCGCTGGGCACGTCTCAGCTGGCACTTCAGCGCGAATCGGCGTCTTGGGCGGGCGCGGTATCATGGCAACGTCGACAACGGTAGACAATGATGATGGTAACGATGCTGCTGGCGATGATGACAACGACGACGGCAAGCCAGTGACGGCGCCGACGCTGATCACGCCGACGACGAGGACGACGTCTTCGCGTCGGTGGTGCAGGTTTTGAAGGAGTTCGACAAGCGCGCGCGGCCGACGCGCGAGAGTGAACCGCATGGGATTATTCGTCACGGATCGTGCCCCCCCTCCCAGCACGCGCACGAGGGCGTTCGAATGATATCGACATGCGGCGCGAGAAGCCCGTTTGGCAGAATTTCATGGACATGTTGAAATCGCATGGTTTGCTTAACCATTCGCAAGAGCGCGCCCAGGCGTTGTTGAAAAATTGATGTTGCACAACTATGTGTTTTATATGCTTTCGGGACACTCCAATTGAAATCCCTGCGAAACCCAAGGTGGTTGAAGGATTTCGGCACGCGCGCGCGACGATGCGCACGCGTGCACTTCGCCCGTTTTTTGCACGCGGTTCTTGCGACAGCACTCGCGCAAGGGCTCTTGAACGATTTCGACAGGCGCGCGAGAGAGGCTAGTCCGGCAGCATGTCACGAAAATGTTCAAAACGTATGGTTACCTGAAGAATTTGCAAGTGCGCGGGCGCAGTCTACGTTTGGGGGAAATTCCCGTTGCGAAGCCATGTGTTTTCAGGTGTGCTTGGGACACTGAGCTGTTCGAATGATTTCAGCATGCGCGCGCGCACTTCGTCCCATTCGTTGCAAGGGATTCGTTGAAGCTGATGGTTTGTGATAAACGAATGCGCGCGCATAATATTTCGCGGCAGGGGATAAGAGGGGGGCGGCGATACTGGCTTGCCTTGGATGGGATGAGATCACGCGGAACAGGGTAGACACATACGTAAATTGCAGTGCGACCAAACCCCCCTTGAGTAAGGCGGGGGGGGAAGTCTATCCCATTACTTTTTATTCGAAAGCAAAATGACGTGGCTCTCGCCGTAGTGCCGCGCAAATCCCCATGGCCACCGTACCAGATATGGTGTGATGTAAGGACTCAGGATTGAGGGCGCAACAGTTACGTTGATTCACGGCGTTGAGGTCTCAGGTGTGGTGTTCTGGCGCGGTTCAACATCGCCAAGGAGCAGCAACCAGGTTGATCCGTGGCGTTGGAGTCCCGAGAATAGTGTTGTGGCATGCTTCAGAGTCTTCAAATGGTTGTCTCATAACAGGACAGTTCCCAATGGAAATGGACCCTTGCACGGGCCTGCGAAGAGGGAGCTTGGAGGGAGGGTGTATTCCAACATCGTTGGTGAGCCTTGGGTTTACACTGGTCCCCCTCCTTCCCCTCCTCCTCCATGTCATCCTTCTTTTTTGAAATCCGTCCTCCTCCTATTCGTGCGCCTCCTCCCCCTCGTCATCACCTTCACCTCCAGTAAGAACAACATAATCCTGATGATAACTACTGGCTTCATTACCGCGACCACCAACACGAATATCGTCATCAACAGCATAAACCACATAATCAGCATCTCCATCATCATCAGCATCCTCACCATCAGCAGCAGCAGTAGCCTCATCACCAGCAGCAGCATCATCAGCAGCAGCAGCTGGAGAAACCTCATCATCGATATCATCATCAACAGCGCCATCGCCATCACCAGCATCAACCGCATCATCATTATCAGCATCATCATCATCATCAGCAGCATCTTCATCATCGGCAACAGCACCCATCATCCTCATCCTCATCAGCAGCATCAGCAGAATCAACATCACCATCCGCAGCATCACCAGCATCGTGACCACCATCGCAACATCATCGACATCATGATCCGCATCAGCATCATCAGCGACAGCATCTATATCAACATCATCACCAGCATCTTTGTTGGAGAACCCGCAACATACTGAACACATACTACCATGCGAGTATCAGCATGCAAGTGCGCACACAGCTAAACCCACTTAGCCTGAAGGAAAAGAAAACACGCTCGCACAGTTCTTGGCCAACTCTCTGCTCAACTCATTCGTCACCTCTGAAATCGCCTCCCACATCTTTTCCGCATTTCAATCCGACGGGCCGCGTGTGCGAAGGAATCCTCGATGGCGATCTGCAGCCCAAGCTTCTTCTTATGGCCATTGTTCTCGCTGTCTGCGATCTCGTTGTTGGAGCCCTTGGAATCGATCACGGGGTCGCTCTTGCGCTGCATCCTGCACTGGTGCACGTGGTCGCATTTCGGGGCGTCGTACGTGAGCTGGTCGATTTGCGCCTGCAGAGCCTCAATCTGCACAGATATACGCACGAATTGATCAGAAGGCGGCGAGTCGGGAGCGACGGGCAAGGCAGTCGGGTTCAGCAGCGGCGCCACGACAACTTGCAGCTCTTGGAGGACATCATCGAGGAAGGCAATCGTGATATGCCGTGCAACTTTGTAGGTCAGGTTGAGTTTCCTCAACTTCCCTTTCAACCTGTTTGGAAGGATGTCCGCGTTCTTCAACTTGATCATGCCATCGTTCAGGGATGAGACTGGCGAATAAGCTTCGCCAGCGAGTACCTCCAGCATCGCGCCATGGACCTTCGCAAGCCAAACGGTCAGCAACCATCGGTCGCTACTGCATGGAAGAAAGTCGAAAGGGGCCGTGCGGGCATGTACTGCCTTGAGCCAAAATGGCTACGGACAGCAGCATCATCAGCATCATCAGCATCATCATCAGCATCAGCATCAGCAGCAGCATCACCACAAGCATCGGCATCATCATAATTCGCCGACCCCTTGTGGGTCTCTAGGCGCGTGAGATTTCCCCCCCATAACCCCCCCCAGGGACCCCCAAACCGGAGATTTGACCCCCCCCGGCCATGGACGAACGCGCCATGGGAGCATAGAGGGCCCCAAAACGGGCCAAGAGGGCCCCAAGTGGGCCCTAAGACGATCCAAGAGGGCCCCGAATCGTCGCGCCCAAGATGGCATCCAGACGGCCCAAGATGCCTCCAAAACGCCCCAAGAGGCATCCAAAAGGCCTCGCAAAAGGCACCGAAGAAGTGAAAATTGCACCATTCCTTTGGAAAAACGTATGTTTTAAACACATTCGCCTCTTGCGCTTTCATACAGTGCAAGACAGCCCAAAAGACCCCTAGGACAGCTCCAAGACAGCCCACATGGGTCCCAAGACCGCCGAAGAAGCCCCGATGACGGTCCCAGAGAGCCCCCGGACGGCGCCAAAGGGGGCCCACGGGGGGAATCCGAACCCACAGTTCCAGCCTTCGGCCCCAGGACGCCCCCAGATTCCCTCAAGAAGCCCCCAACACGCCCCTAGAAGCCCCCAGGGAGCCCGAACAGAGCCCCCAAACGCCCCCAAGAACCTCCCAGGAATCAGACAAGCCTCGTGGAATGCAGTCCTGGACGCGCAGTAGTTTATAGAGGGGTCGGCGGATGTGGCGTAAGCCTATAGAATAATCCTCAGCAGCAGCATCATCATCATCATCATCACATTCATCATCAGCAGCAGCAGCAACATCATCAGCAGCATCATCAGCATCACCAGCATTAGCATAATCAGCAGCATCATCATCATCATCATCATCATCATCATCATCATCATCATCATCATCATCATCATCATCATCATCACCACCAGTCTCAGCAACAGTATCATCATCAACACCGTCGCCATATTCATCATCAGCAGCATAAACGCCACAGTCTCAAGTATGATCGTCATCATCTTGAAGAGTCTCATCCTCACCAGTGAGGATACTTCACGGGAAAAAGGCTATCACAACAACGTGGTGGTGGCCCTACCGCTGTTTCGATGCTACGTCCTAGCTACTCCCAGGTTCCTCGTGACTGTCTCTAAACTACAGTAGACATGCACTGCACGTTGACAATCGAGGGTGCATGCCACAGCCCTATCGTAACCATCTCGTAACTATCGGCTGCAGCATGTACACCTGGGACAGAGCTGCACCAGAAACCGTCTGGCCTGCCGCAACACTTTAGCGAACCTAGGGCGCTCCTGTTTCACGCCCTCTGGCAGCAGCATGGAGCAGCCGTGCATCGGACACTATGGCAGCAGCATCTGGCAAGCCATGGTCCATTTGCGCCGCGGGGCAGGCGCTCCTTCAGGGGCCTGTTGCCCTGCATCAGCTCCAACGCGCCGAGCTGCGGCGTGGAAGTCAGCGTGACCTCAGTGGACGGCGTCAGTCGACCAGCATACATACATGGCCACTTGTTCTACATCTCCGGAATCCGAACGACTCAATAGCACACCTTGGAAGAATATCGCTTGCTTCCGGAAACTTCCTCTGGCCTTCCCCCGGCGGAGCCGCCTCGATTTACTTCCGCCGGCTTCCGCCAGCCTCACACCGCCTTCCGCCGAGGAAGAGATGCCAGCTCCTCCGATCCTCCGATCCTCGAGGGCGAGGCCCTTTCTGGAGCGCTCCGCAATTGTCCCTTGGCTGGCCCCTGCTGAGCTCACGTGCCCGTGTCGTGGCGCGGCGGGCAGAGGCACGAGCGCGCGCACCCGTATAGGCGACCATACTCGCACGACCCACTCTTTCCCCAGGCATCAACGGGACTGGATTCGAAACGTCCCTCCACCCCATCCACAGCTCCCCACGACGACATCCCATATCTCACCGTTCCTGAGTCTGCTCTACCTCAAATTCGGTCCTGCTTTCCCTGCTGACTCGAAACGACCAGCGTCTTCGAGATCGCCATTGCTGGTCGTCGAGGGGTGCTTGTCATCACTGCCATGCCATGCCATGCCATCACCAAATTGCCAAAAAAGAATCCACCGACATGCCACCATCACCATTCGCTGGCAACACGTTCCCTGCGTCCATCTCACTGTCACCACGGTTCCTCTCATATTGACCAGCGATCCCATTTTTCGTGCGCTCGAGTTCCATGCAGTTCTGACGTGACACCCGCCAGTCCTTCGGGCGGCCCTGATGATTCAGGAGTGGGAGGATTAGCAGGGGGCGAAAGAGCAGAAACGGAGGCAGGAAGAAACGAAGGAAGAACGGGAGGAGGAAGGAGGAAGTGGCAGGAAATCCACCGCCGTGTCCCCTTGCACGCTGAGGCGCAGCAGAATGCCAAGGCCTCTCTGGCAGGGTTCCTACAATACTCTGAGGCGCGCCACCACCACCACCCCTTCTCCTAGAGACATGCTAAGGGTCTGGCAAGAAGCCGGATTATCGGGTCTGCCCCCACACCCCACCCTTCCCCCTGGATAACGTGACCTTGTCAGTTGCGCAGGTCCGAAGGGGGTTGTGCTGGTGCGTGCAAGCATGCGAGGGGCTGCCCAAAGCGAGAAGGTTAGGTTATCGGCCGGCACATCCCTTCCCCCCAGACCAGACAACCTGGGCCATCGCCGAAAAACAAATAACTATCTCCCAGCACAGTGCTGCATGCTTCCCCCACCACCCCCGCTCCCGAGTCTCCCTGTGCGCCACGCCACCTCCCTGGCGCTTTCCAAGTCCTCCAGGATGCCCACGGTGCGTTCCACGACGACCCAGACATGCCACCAAGCCCGCCAAGATGGCTCAAGATGCCTCCAAGACGGCCCAAGATGGCCCAAGGACAGCTCAAGATGGCCTGAGGGGCTCCCAACAAAACCAAATATTGCTGCAGGAGGAACCCCCAGGAGGCTCCAAAGAGGTCGAAATCAGCGAGGTCCCGTTGGTGCCTCAAAGATGTTCGCGTTGTCCATTTGTTGGAATTTTCGCCAGCCCAAGACGGATCAAGAGGCCTCCAAGATGGTCCCAAGACGTCCAGAGGGAGCCCAAGGACAGCCCCAAGCGCCCCCAAGATTACACCAGGGGGCCCCATATTGCCCAAGAGACACACAAGATGGCTCAAAGGGGCCCCAACATGGAACGGTCCATGGAGGCAGACACGACGGACTCTGAAGCCACCAGACGGCCTCAAAGAGCCCTGAGACAGCCCAAGAAGCCCCAAGAGGCCTCGAGAGGCCACCATGACGCCCCCGAGAGACCTCAAGAGGCCCCTAAGAGGCCCCAAGAGGCATCGAAGATGCCACCAACAAAAACACAACAAACTCACAAAAGGGTAGAAGACAAGCAAGGGAGAGAGGGAGGAAGACGACGACGAAGACGAGGGGACACCCCGACAAGACTCCGAACATCGTGTCACTTGTTATGCGCAGTCTATTGTTCTCTCTCCCTCTCTCGCTATGTATCTCTCTCTCTCTCTCTCTCTTCTCCTTGACCCCGTCCCAATGTTATTCCTTCTTGGTGTTTACTCCTATTCTGCCATGTAGCCGACCACAAACCTCCTGATCCAGAACCTCCCATCCTATTTGAAAAATCACGAGACCAAGTCGACATTTGCTTTCAACACGGACATGACGTCGCCCATGTTGCAAAATGTGTGGCAAAAACGGGGCGGGGCCCCACGTCCCGCGCGAAAGGCAAACTGTCGCTCTCGCCTCGGCGCTGCGCTCAATTTTCCAGAGAATTGAACTCCTGTTGGCGCGGCGCACATTTATTGCACGCCACGTCGTCGACACGCGGCCGGGCGAAAACGTCACTCTCGCCCCGGCGCCGCTCAGAGTTCGTCTGAAAAGTGGCGCTCCTGCCTCGGCGCGGCGCAAATTCCTCACTCGCTATTTGGGGGCGCCCGCGCGAGCGGGCAACTTGTCGATTCGCCAAATCTGCGTGCGCATTTCGCTCGGAAATGGCGTTCCGACGCGGGCGCGGCACATGGCTTTTTGGCCGGATCGCATGACAGCGACAGCGGCAGCGGGGCCGCGCGAGAGCGGGCGAAATGCCGACCTAGCCCAAGCGCCGCGCAGGATGCGAGTGAAAGTGGTAGTGCTGTGTCGGCGCGCCGCATGCTTCGTCTTCGCCGCGCTCATCGGAAGTGTTGCCGCTCCTGCCCCTGCGCGGCCCAAGTCGTTGTCCCGTCGCCAAAGCGTCGAAGCTGGGCCGCGCACGAACGCCTTCATTTCGCTAGGTGGGAACGTGTTCCAATCCGAATCTCAGGTTGTGCCAAAACTGATTCATATGTTATGAGAGAGGGAGTGGGAACAGGTGGGGCCCTTCTGACTCGCTCGACCTGGCAAACTTGGCTCCGCCTCCTCCTCCTACTCCAGCTCCTTCTCCCCCATCCTTCTCCTCATCCCCCTCCACCTCCTCCGCTTCCTCCTCCTGGGGACGAGAAATGCAAGATGAAACGGCACATTATCCTCCTCCTCCTCCTCCGCCTCCTCCTCTTCCTGCACCTCATCATCATCATCATCATCATCATCATCATCATCATCATCATCATCATCATCATCATCATCATCAGAATCATAATCATCACCACCATCCTCATGATGATGATGACTATCATGATCGTCATCATCATCATCATCATCATCATCGTCGTCATCATCATCGTCACCATCATCACCACCACCACCACCATCATCATCATCATCACCACCACCGTCATCATCATTAGCAGCAGCAACAGCAGCAGCCCCATCCATCATGAGCAGCAGTATCGCCAAAAACGTCACCACCATCATCATCATCATCATCATCATCATCATCATCATCATCAGCAGCAGCAGCAGCACCGTCATCACCCCCACCATCACCATCATCAACACCACCATAACCACCAGCATCGCCATCATCATCAGCAGCAGCATCGTCGTCATCATCATCGTCGTCCTCAACATCCTCGTCGTCGTTGTCGTCGTCGTGGTCGTCGTCGTCATCATCATCACCAGCAGCATCATCATCATGTGCAGCAGCATCATTATCATCAACACCATCGTCAACATTGTCGTCGCGTCATCGTCAACATCATCAACATTCGTATTGATATTGCTGGCTTCATCGTACGATGATATGCATAAGCGTCCTGATCCTAGGGACTGCAAGTACCGCATGTAAAAATCATCCTTTACTCTTACACCTTCTCGTCGTCACCTTACATCACCTTCACTATTCTACACCCCCCCTCCTCGTCCTCCTCTTCAGCCCCCTAGGAACCACAAGTGTCACACTGGACGGCCTTCCTCGAACCACAATTAAATCCTCCACGTCGCACCCACTGGCGTGTCGGTAGGGGGGCCGGGCGTTCCGTCCAACACTTCCTCACTCACGTATGACTCTGAGGCCCCACGCTTGCAACTGCTGCAATGAAGAGGGGCGAGTGATTTTCAAAATGTAATTCTCGCCAGATTAACGCCGCGCACGTTCGTCTGAAAAAACTGCGGCCGCTTCACGGAAAGACGACGGCTCCTTTTCAAAATGTGGTTCCGGCATTGGCGCCGCGCGCATTCATTAGTCTTAAAATTGGCAACTGCTTCAATGATGGAGGACAGGAGATTTTCAAATGTGTATCTAGCCTCAGTACCGCGAGTTTTCGCCTCAAAAGGTTGCCATTGCTGCAATGATGGAGGGCGGGTGACATTCAAAATGCGGCTCTGGCCAAATTAGCGCCGCGAGCGTTCGCCTCAAATGCTTGCAACTGCTGCAAGGATGAGGGGCGAATGATTTTTAGAATGTGGCTCGCGCCAAATTAGCGCCGCGCACATTTGTCTGACAATTGGGCATCCACTTCGGAGATGGAGGATGGCTCCTTTTCAAAATGTGGTTCTCGCTTCAGCGCCGCGCACATTCGCATTAAATTATGCAATTGCTTCAAGGGTGGAGGGCAAATGATTTTCAAAATGTGGTTCTCGTCTCAGTGCCGCGCACATTCGTTTGCAAAGCTTGCACCAGCTCCAAGGATGGAGGACGGTTCCGATTAAAGAGGTTTGTCTCGCCTCAGTACCGCGATCTTTCGCCTCAAAAGGTTGCCATTGCTGCAATGATGGAGGGTGTGTGATTTTGAAAAGTGGCTCTAGCCAAGTTAGCGCCGCGAACGTTCGCCTCAAAAGCTTGTAATTGCTGCACGGATGAAAAGGTTTTCACCAAATTAGCGCCGCGCACATTCGTTTGCAAAGTTGGTATCAATTCCACCAGCCCTTTGGGGCGTAGGTGGTTTAGGGCGTTTCCTCTTCCACCCCCTTCTTCCCCCAGGGGGAACGGTTTACCCCTCCCCCTACCTGGACGGGACGTTTCGCGAACGGTCGGAGCGTCCAAAACGGCCTCGGCGAGGAAGCCAAAATTATTGGTTCTACTGGGGTTTAGGCCCCATTGTGGCCTCTGGGGGGGAGCGCTAATTAAGGACCCCCCTTTTTTGATCGATCTCCTCCGAGATGGACCCACGAGCGTTCCCAAGGCTCCCAAGGGTGCCCCAAGAGGGCCCCAAGAGGTGGCCAGGAGGCTCCAAGAGACCCCCAAGAGGACCCCAGGATGCCCCCAAGAGGCCCCCAAGAGACCCCCAAAAGGCCCCAAGAGGCTCCCCAGAGGCACCCAAGACGCTCCGAGGGGCCTCGGCGAGAATGCCAATCAGCGCTTGTTTTGGCCACAGTTTGGCCTCCAGGGGGGGGCACTGCTTAAGATGACTCCAGGACGCGCCTGGGGGAGCCCAAGATGACCTCCAAGATGGCTCAAGATACCCCAAAATGCCTCAAAATGGCTCCCACGATGCTCCAAGAGGCCCCAAGACCGCTCCAAGACGGCTCCAAGTGGCCAGAGACCCCCCCAGGAGGCCCCGAAGAGGCCAACATCCTTTCAAAATCTTGAGCAAATCCATGCGTTTGGCGTTTTCGCTTTTTCGCTTCCGATGGCCATCCGAAGCCTCAACATGGCTCCAAGATGGCCCAGGAGGGCTCCAAGAGCGCCCCCAAGGCTCCCAAAACCGCTTCAAGAGGCGCCCAGGACGCCCCAGGAGGCCCCAACAGGCGCCCAATAGGCCTCCAAGAGGCTCCCAAGAGACCCCCAAGAAGCCCCAAGGAGCTCTCCGAGGCACCCACGACGCTCTAAGAGGCGCCCGGGACCACCAAGAGGCCCCCAAGACGCTCCAAGAACCCCCCACTGGGGGACCCTTCCTCTGCGTGCTGCCCGCTTCCCTGATCGAGGAAATTCCTCTGGGAATCGTTTCTGGATGGGCCAGTGGGGGTTTTTTGATCGCGAGCGCATCGGAAGTGCCGAACGCCGTCCGACAGACGTAACAACAAGGCTACGGCCTAAATTGCGCGAGCGGAAGGGAGAAAGACGGACAACGAGAGAACGCGGGAAAGAGGCAGAGAAAGAGCACACAGGAGGCAAGCTACGCTGCGGCTCAGGAGACGCGATACACCAGGAAGAACCACCAGTCGAGGTGCAACACCAAACTGGCGAAATTCATGTTGACCTCGAGCTCGAGGAAGGCGAGCAAGGACATGGCCCACTGCCACGGCAGCACCGAGAAGAAGGACACGATGCAGATGACGGCCGTGACGCAACCGATGAGAAGGTCGAACAACGACATGCAGGCGCTCAACGGAGTAGAGTCTGGATCGCCAAACACATACGGCTGGTGGGGTTAAGCGAAGCGTCTAGAATTTCAGAGATGGAGGACGGCTGCGTTCCAAAATGTGGTTATCGCCTCAGCGCCGCGCACATTCGTCTGCAATAAATGCACCAGCTTCGAGGATGAAGGACTTTGTTCTGCAAAATGTGGCTCTCGTCTCAGCGCCGCGCACATTCGCCCCAAAAGTCTGCATCTGCTGCAAGGATGGAGAACAGGTGATTCTCAAAATGTGGTTCTCGCCAAACTAGCGCTGCGCACATTCGCCTTAACAGTTTGCGACCGCGTCACGGATGGAGACCGGCTCCTCTTCAAAATGTGGCTCTCGTTTTGGCGCCGCGCGCATTCGTCTGAAAAGTTTGCAACATATGCAAGGATTCGTAAGGGTGAGGTCCGACGAATGGCATTCTGGCGCGAGGAAAAAATTATCACGACGCACCAGTCGCGTTGACTCGCGGGGTTGAAGTCCCAGGAATGATGTTCTGGCACGATGTAGGATTGTCAGGACGAAACAGTCACGCTGATTCGCGGCACTGAAGTCCGAGGAATTGTGTTTTGGCACGATGGAGCATTCGCAGTCTGTTCTCCTTCAACGGACCATTTACCGCGATGACCATAAATGCGTGTGGGGACCTATGAGGGAGGCACTTGTAGGGAGAATATGTTGCAACATCGTTAATGCGTCTTGGACTTACACTTGTCTTCCTCCTCCTCGTCCTCCTCGCGTTGTTCTGATTATTCTACCTCCTCCACCTCCTCCTCCTCCTCCTCCTATTCCTCATCCTCCTCCTCCTCCTCCTCCTCCCCCTCCTCCTGCTCATCCTCATCGTTATCCGTCTCTTCCACCTCAACCATCTTATCCTTCCCCAGGGTCGACAAGTGCCACATGCGGCAGCCTTCTCGATGGTGCTCGAAAAGTCGCCACGCACAGTGCGGCGCTGGCACGGTGGTGGGACTTGCCGCGGGCAGTTTGATGGAAGAGGAAATGGAAGAGAACGAGAACGGAGAAAGAGGACGCTGAGGAGATAGGAGGAAGAAGGGGAGGACGATGACGATGACGAGGACGAGGACTAGGAAGAGAAGTAGGAAAAGGAGCAGGAGCAGGGATGGGGATAGACGAGGGAGGAGGTGGAGGAAGTGGACGAGAAGGAGAACCGAGGAGGAGGAGGAGGAGGAGAAGGAACATTACCCTGGCGATGTACCCAACCCCTGCGCAATGCGGGGCATGAGTAGCTTGGGCGACTTTATAAAGGGGGTGATGAGGAGACATGGACGTCTGTATTTCTGCGACCAGCATTTGGGAGGTCCCATTTGAGTCCGCCGCGGGGCCCCACTACGCTGGCCGCCCTAACAGGCCTCGAAAGTGGCAACCCGTCCACAGATCGCAGCCCCCCTGGCATGGCGAGGTCTAATTTGAGTCTGCCTAGGACGTCAATATGCTGGACCCCCCAGCAGGCCTCGAACGTGGCGAGCCATTCACAGATCGCAGCCACCAAGGGATGGCGAGGTCTAATTTGAGTCTGTCTGGGACGTCACTATGGACCCCCCAGCAGGCCTCAAAAGCGGCGACCATTTCACAGATCGCAGACCCCCAGGCATGGCGAGGTCTAATTTGAGTCTGTGTAGGACATCACTATGCTGGACCCCCCCCCAGCAGGCCTCGAAAGTGGCGACAGTTTCACAGATCGCAGCCCTCCAGGCATGGCGAGGTCCCATTTGAGTCTGCCTAGGACGTCACTATGCTGAACCCCCCAGCAGGCCTCGAAAGTGGCGACTGTTTCACAGATCGCAGCCCCCCAGGAATGGCTAGGTCTAGTTTCAATATGCGTAGGACGTCGCTATGCTGCCCCCCCCAGCAGGCCTCGAAAGTGGCGACAGTTTCACAGATCGCAGCCCCCCAGGCATGGCGAGGTCTAATTTGAAGCTACGTAATTAGGACGTCACTATGCTGGCCCCCCTAGCAGACCTCGAAAGTGGCGACCCTTTCACAGATCGCAGACCCCCAGGCATGGCGAGGTCTAATTTGAGTCTGTGTAGGACATCACTATGCTGGACCCCCCCCCCCAGCAGGCCTCGAAAGTGGCGACAGTTTCACAGATCGCAGCCCCCAGGGATGGCGAGATCCCATTTGAAACTGCCTAGGACGTCACTATGTTGAACCCCCCAGCAGCCCCCGAAAGTGGCGACAGTTTCACAGATCGCAGCCTCCCCACCCCCCAGAGGCAAGACGGGCAGGAGGCAGGAGGGAGGCGGGAGAAGGACACGACCATAGTCCTCTATTCAAAGCGAATACCTAACCAAGGAGGGTTGGGAATAACAATAGTAAGGAAAGGGAGGAGGAGGAGGTCGGTCGGTGGTCAGACCTGGGGTGACTGCGTCAGCTGAGCTATGCCGAGAAGGAGTAGGAGGAAGAGGAGGCCGACGACGACGACGACGACGAGAACGAGGACGAAGAGGCGGATCGGTGCGATGAGACCGCCGCCCCATCCCCCCCCTGGCTCCCGGGCGCCTGGGTGGACTGCAGCCTGTGCACCTCTGCGACGGGGATGCTGGCGGAGACCTCCGTGTCAACCTGCAGCTCCCGTCCCCCCTCACTGGCCGGCGAGGAGGGGGGGGAAGCGCAGGCGGGAGTGGAGGGAGGGAGGGAGGAACAGGAACTACAGGAGGGAGGAGGAGCGATAAGGGGGGGAAGGGGGGGCGCAGAGGGTAAAGGAGGAGCAGGACGAAGAAGGGAAAGAGGATGAAAGGGACGAAGGAGAAAGAAAAAGGGAGGGGGAAGGGGGGAAGAGGGAGAGGACGGAGGGGTGAGGGGGCAAGCTAGGGGCGCTAGCGTCATATCTGACGTCCTACCCCTCCCTCCCATCCTTTACCATGACGTAGATCTCCTATCTATTCGCACAGGCGGATGTGAAGCATGGCAATGATCCCAAGAGGGCACGCGATGTATGAAACAGCATGGCGTAGAAGAGCACGGCAGAGCATAGCATTTCATAGCACGGCGTGGCATTGCGTAGTGAAGCACTGCATCACAAAGCATAGCGGGACCAAGAACACCACTGCTGCTGCGGGACCACGATGGGGACTAACTGAAGGGGGAAGGGGGCCTGCTCATTCCTCCTCCTCCTCCTCCTCCAACTCCTCCTCCTCCTCCTCCTCCTCCTCCTCCTCCTCCTCCTCCCCCTCCTCCTCCTCCTCCTCCTCCTCCTCCTCCTCCTCCTCCTTCTCCTCCTCCCCCTGCTTTCTCCTCCATTTCTTAATACATAACTCCTCCCTGTCGCACCCCGAGGCCAGTCCGAAGGGCGGGCTGGCCGTTTCGCCTGAGACCCCCTTACCACGCATGACCCTTAAGCTTGAAAGCTGGCCACGGTTTCACAGATGGAGGGCGGTTCGCTCCCAAAATGTGGCTCTGGCCGTAACGCCGCGCACATTCGCCTAAAACATGTGCAAGAGCTTTACGGATTGAGGGCGGGCGTTTTCAAAATGTGGCTCTCGCCGTAACGCCGCGCACACTCGCCTAAAACATGTGCTAGAGCTTCACGGATTGAGGGCGAGCCGTTTTCAAAATGTGCCTCTCGCATTCGCGCAGCGCTCATGCGTCTTCAAACAATAGAAGAGCTTCACGGAGTGAGGGTGGTTCTGTTTCTGCGCACAATTTTACGGATTCCCATGGTCAACGTACCAGAACTAGCGTTTTGGAGCGATTCCGGATTGTCAGGGCGCACAAAGTTACGTTGATTTGCGGTGTTGAAATCCAAGGAACGATGTTCTGGCACGAGTCAGGATCGTCTAGACGCACCGGTCAAATTAATTCGTAGCGTTGGGGTCCCGAGAATGGCTGTTTGGCATGCTTCAGGATCTTCAAACGGTGGCCTCCCAACGGAGCACCCTCTGTGGAAATGAATCCGTGTAAGGACCTCTGAAGAGGGAGCTTAGCGGAAGAGTTTATTCCAACATCGCGAAAGAGTGACACTGGGCCTCCTCCCCCCCCCTCCTCATCCTCCCCCTGCTCCTCCTCCTCCTCCTCCTCCTCCTCCTCCTCCTCCTCCTCCTCCTCCTCTTCTTGCTTGGGCGCACACTCCAAGTCCCCAAATCTCCTCGGAGGCGGACATGAAGGGGGAAAGCGAACGCGGAGACACAATACCCTTGCAGCACTGGTGTGCTCGCAGCTGCGCTGCTCTGGAGGCCTCCAGGCCGTACCACAGATCACCCATCTGGTAAGAGATGCATCCCCCTTGGATTTTTCTAGGGGAACAAACAACTGCATAAACATACACTTTCGGAGGTCAGCGCGAACTTACAGGATCTTCGTGCCTCCCTGGCGCACGGAGCGCGCCAATAGCGGCGCTGGAGACGCCGCCCAGGGGTGCCCCAGGGCCGATCCGAGAAATCCGCGCGGAGCTCCGAAGTTCTGATTATGTTACACATACGCTTCCGTCCTTTACCCCTGGACTCCGCCATCGAACTCTTCCAGGCCCTCGCACAAGTAGTCCCCAAACGTGGTTGTGACAACACCCGGCGGTGAGTCTCGGGCGATTTGGGGTCACCACCCAGTTTGGGGACACGTGTGGTTTTTCGATGAGGTCCCGAACGCTGGTGGGTCCAGGAGTCACAGAACCTGGCGATGACCCCGTGTCCCGAAACCCGGCGGTGACTTTGGGGGGATTCCAGGTCACCACCTGGTATCTCACCACCTGGTTCGGGGGCTCCCAATCGCAATCCCCTGCCCCCTGCCTCGTACTGCGAGATGCCGTGCAGCAGCCCTCCGTGCCGCTCCAGCGCCATCAGGTGCCGGAAGCGCTGGAAGTACTCGGCCTGAGAAGCGGCGCCCTCCCGAGTCTCGGCGGAGGAGCGGGGGCAGAGGGAGGGGGGGAAGGGGGAGGGGGGGGATTCCCTGTAGTGAGCGTTTTCTAAAATTTGGCGTTTCGACATTGGGCGGAAGGAGGGGGGAGGGGGAAGGGTCTGGCTCTGGACCTCTGCTCAGTGCGACTGTTTGCACCAGTACGTCCTATGGGGGAGGCTCCAACTGCTCGAAAAAGGCGCCCAAAACAGCCACGATCTACTCCAAGGGGGGGGAGGAGGGGGGCGAGGGCCCGCACCGATAGGCAAAACAATGAATCCCACCAGCCATCTGGGCGTCGGTGGTCTAGAGAGTTTTCTCTTCCAACCCCCTTATTCCCCTCGTGGAGGGGTTTACCCCTCCCCCTACCCCCTCCCCTGGACCTGGACAGGGGGATCCGCGGGTCGTTGGGGCGTCGAAGACGGCTCCAAGAGCGAAAAGGCGGGAAAGCAAAACAGCATTGATTTCCCTGGGTTTGGGAAGGATTTTGGCCTCTTTTGGGGCCCAAGAGGCACTCTAGAGGGGCAACGCTAATTCCCACCCCCCCTTCTTTGATAGATCTCCTCCAACATGGCCCCAAGAGCGCCCCGAAGGCTCCGAAGAGCGCCCCAAGAGCGCCCCAAGAGGGCCCCAAGAGGCCCCAAGAGGCGCCCAAGAGGCCTCCAAGAGGCTCCCAAGAGACCCCCAAGAGGCCCCAAGAGGCTCCCCGAGATACGCAAGAGGCCCACAGGACCGCCAAGAGGCCCCAAAGACGGCCCAAGAGGCCCCCAAGCTCGCCATCGTCCTCCTCCTCCTCCTCCTCCTCCTCCTCCTCCTCCTCCTCCTCCTCCTCCTCCTCCTCCTCCTCCTCCTCCTCCTCCTTTCCTCCTCCCTCCTCCCCCTCCCTCTCCTCCTCCTCATCCTCCTCCTCCTCCTCTCCTCCTCCTCCTCCTCCTGCTCCTGCTCTCCTCCTCTCCTCCTCCTCCTCCTCCTCCTCCTCCTCCTCCTCCTCCTCCTCCTCCTCCTCTCCTCTTCTTCTCGTCCTCCACGTCCTCGCAGCCTCCATCTCCTCCTCCTCCTCATCTTCCTCCTCCTCCTCCTCCTCCTCCTCCCCCTCCTCCTCCTCCTGCTCCTCCTCCTGCTCCTCCTCTTCCTCCCCCTACTCCGACGACGACGACTCCTCCTACATCCTCCCCTTCTTGGGGCATATGGCGGCTTACCCCGTCCTTTGTTCTTCTGCATGCTCCCCCGTTTCCCTCATCACCTCCACTCCCCTGGGGCTAATTTCTGGACGGGCTGGTGGGGATACGCGAAGCGTTTAGGATAAGAAACGATCCTCTTGTCATCGGGGCGTTGCAACTGTGTTCGCGGCGCTTTCGCCCAGCTTCAGGCCCCGGGACGATTGCAGATCGGTCGGGCTCGAATAGTGCCGCAGAAAGGTGGAGTCTAAGGCTCTGGTCGTGATAATATTTTCGCAACGTCAGATCTCAATGGAGTATGGGGGAAAAAAGTACCGTTGGTTAGTGTCATGACAACTTGCGCTTTGGTTTCTGGCATCGCTTGGATCGCTCACGACCTTGAGCGATCGTGGCGCCCCGATGGCGCTAACCGTTAGATATCGGCCGATCCTAGGTCACTGGTGGCGTTAAACCTTGAAGGCCCGCGCTGGGGTCGCCGCCGCGTCGACACGACACGACCCCAGCGTAAGCTACATTCCATCTCTCAGTCCGGAAGAACGCATGACATAAGCATAAATTTCGGCGGTCCGAAAATCTATGTTTATGCCGCTTTTCTTGTTCGCAGATTCTCGCCCGTCGCGCCTTCCCCGCTCTCTCCCGCCTCCCCACGCTCCCACAGCCAGCGTTTCATGGCAGGCGCCGCTGGTAGGCGCCCTGCTCCCCCCGCCTCACCCCCCAGCGAGGGACGCCGACTCCGCCAACCCCACAAGAGTTGGCTCTGGAGCGAATCCACTGGAGACTGCGGCCTGTGGACAAGCATTCCACACGCCCATGGGGATCCTGATCGCAACCGTCCTGATTGTGCTGATGTGGATGTCCAGATGTTTCACCCCAGGCCGTGTCCGTAGAGGCTGTGCTAGGGCCAGCCTCGGGATATGTACAGGGATGGTCCGTGCTCGACAGCATGCTCTACTCCAGCGGTGTGCCGCATACGGGAGGGAGGGCGAGGTGAGCAAGCAGCGAGGACGGGAGGATCGGGGGGGTACGCCGAAGGGGGGGGAAGGAAGAGGGGGGTTGGCGCATCATGGCCCGGCGCAAGTGTGCGGACCAAATATTGAAGGAAATCTGGGACATGTCATGACTCTGGTCATGATATACGCCATGATATACGCACTCGCGCAAACACACTTTTTCGTCGGCGGCTAGGCAGAGGGACTGCGCTGGCGAGTAAGGCGAAATGGGGCAACGTTTAGCGAATTCAGCCACCATGCAGGAGGGAGGGGAGAGGACGACAAGGCGCCGGCCAAGTGGGGGACCGAGAGGAGCCGGGCCCGCTCAGAGCAGCCCGGGTGCGTGGCGGGGCGGGCGCCAGGGAGCCAGCGGCGGCGACGGGGCTGGGGAGCTGGCGGCAGCAGGGCTGACGGGTTCGGCCGATGAAGTGGAAGCTCGACCAGTGCGAGCGCCGAGCCCCAAGGGATGGGAGGCGGGCCGCGCAAACACACACACACACACACACACACACACACACAAAAAAAAAAAAAAACAAAAAAAAAAAAAAAAAAAAAAAAAAAAAAAATCTGGGCGAAGGACCCGACCATATGCAGTTGTGAATATCTTCTTCGGTGAAGCTCCCTATGGGGCCACGAAGCGCTGCAATGGGTGGGGGGAACGCATGCGGGCGGTAGCACTCGGGCCTTCGGTGGAGCTCCCTATGGGGCCACGAAACGCTGTACTGGGTGGGGGGACGCATGCGGCCGGTAGACCTGGAACCTTCGGTGGAGCTCCTTATGGGGCCACGAAACGCTGTGCTGGGTGAAGGGGACGCATGCGGGCGGCAGACCTGGAACCCTCGGGCGGTGGCACTGGGGCCTTCGGTGGAGCTCCATTTGGGGCCACGAAACGTGCGAGGGGTGTCCCAAATTGGGTGTTCGGGGCGCATGGGGGCGGTTCCACTGGGGCCTGCGGGGGAGTTCCACATGGGGCCACGAAGCGTGCGGGTGGTGTGCCAATTTGGGGTTTCGGGACGCTTGCGGGCGGTCCCACTGGGGCCTTCGGTGGAGCTCCCTATGGGGTCACGAAACGTCTGAGGGGTGTGCCAACGTCCCCACATGCTTCGTGGGGTTCTGGTGTTCTTTCCTGCCGCGTCGCATCCGCGACCCTCACCTCCCCTCCTCCTTTTTCTTTCTCACACAGCGCACCACAGCTCAGCTCAGCACAGCTTCGCTCAGCACAGCACAGCTCAGCTCAGCACTGCGCAGCACAGCATAGCACCTCAGCACAGCACAGTTCAGCTCAGCACAGCACAGCACGACGGTCGTCCAGGGCACAGCAGGCGTGGGGTTTTGTCGACACCATTGGGGGTGCGCAGGGGGGGTCCCTGAGTGCGGCCGCTATGCGTGCCAGGGTCGGAAAGCGCGGCAGGCGTGGCACTTTGTCGCCACCAGAAGGGGGTGCGCGGGGGATGGTCCCTCAGCGCGGCCTCTATGCGTGCCAGGGTCGGAAAACGTGGCGGGCGCTGCACTTCATCTGCGCCAGAGGGTGTGCGCAAAGAGTGGTCCTTTCAGCGCGGGTTCTATGCGTGCCAAGGTCGAAAGTCTGGCACGTGTGACACTTTCTCGACGCCACAGGGGGTGCGCAGGGGGTGGTCCCTCAGCGCGTCCCCTATGCGTGCCAGGGTCGGGAAGCGTGGCAGGCGTGCCACTGTGTCGCCACCAGAGGGGGTGCGCGGGGGGTGGTCCCTCAGCGCGGCCTCACTGCGTGCCAGGGTCGGACAGCGTGGCGGGCGTTGCACTTTCTCGACAGAGGGGGTGTGCAGGGGGTGGTCCCTCAGAGCGGCCCCTCTGCGTGGCAGGGTCAGAAAGCGCGACAAGCGTAACGCTTTCTCGACACCAGAGGGGTGCGCAGGGGGTGGTGGTCCGCCACGGTGCGTGACAAGGCCAGACAGCGTGGCATGCATGGCGGCCAGAACTGTAAACACCTTGGCCCGAACCGGCTCGAATGCTGCAGGTGCTGTCTTGCCGCCCGCGCCGCTCATGCCGCCCAAATGTCCCATTGACGCACTGCCGCCTCCGTGTTTGAATATCAAGAATTCCATGGCTGACGCAGGTGTCGAGGTTAGCATTGTGAACTTGCGCAGTTGCGAGGCAGCGATGGTGAAACACGCATTTAATTCTTACCAGCGACAGCTGAAGAATTGGTGGCCTGATACGCTCCTCAAAAGTTACAACGCGCGGATTCATCAAGGAGGGGGCGACGATGCCAGGAGGCAGTGTTTGGTGAGGTATTTGCTGAGCCCTTTTTCGGGCGGGTTTCCGACAGACGATTTTTCCGATTTGCCCGGGAGGGAGGGGGCGGACGGCGGTCCGCCGCCAGCGAAGGTTCGGCAAGCGCAGGAGGTTGGCATCGCGGGCGCTGACCCGGCACCTTCCTCAGGGCAAGATGCCACTCCTATGAAGACCACGCCTGCGAAGGCCACGCCAACGAAGGCTCCGCCCTCGCAGGCCTTCACCCCTCAGCGGTCTCCAACTGTTCTGCTGGCTACCTCTGTTCGTTCCAGTGGCACGCCTCGGATTGCGGCATCCCCAGCGACCGCGGAGACGGACCACCGCTGGTCACAGGGGCCGTGGTCGCGAGACTTGCGAGAGTCGACCACCATGGAGAGCCTGTCCTCCAACGCGGATTTGAAGGCGGTCAAATGGTGCGCAGCGTTCGCTGCCAAAAGATCTGCCGATCCAGAGTACCGACCGTCGACGAGGGGCGACGATGCCGACTTGTGGAAGGCGCATAGCAGGTACTCTACCAATGATGGGTCCTACATC